AGAACTTTTTCAGCCGTGTAACCATTTATATTTTTTTATGTATAATTTGTGTCCAGGGAAATAAATTTTTTTTATGCTCTTGAGCTGGAAATTGGAGAAATAGGAAATAGTTTTTCTGTCCATTGTACAGTGCTACTCCTCTGATAGTTCTTCCTTATTTAATTTTTATTTGCATTTTCTTCTTTTTAAAACCATGTATTTTCATTGCCCTTGATTTAAAATAAATAAATAAAATTATTCTCCAGACATACTACTTATCCTTAGGAAAAGACCATGCTGTCATGAAGCTTTTGTGGGGAGCGACTCATAAATTGAACTGGGTTCTGTGGGAACAGCAGTTAAGCATTTATTGCATTTAATTTGAATAATAAATGTAAAATATGAAAATACATTCTTGTGGCTGCTTGAAAGATATTCCCTTTTTTATACTGAAATAGGATTCAGGGAAGAGTAAAAACTTTAGAAATAAACTCTATTTTCTCAGATCCTTGATGATTTTGAGAAAACACGGCCTGAGGGATGACCACATTTTTCAATAGTGTTAGTCCTGGAAGTATAATTATAAAATAGTTATTTGCCTGTAACTCTCTTTGCCTGTGGGTTTCTGAAAGCTCTGATGTTTCTTGGGTGCCAATTCTAAGGAAATGGGGTTGTGGAATGCTTTGCTGCTCTTTAACACTTGCCTGTGTTTGGCAGCTCTGCAAGGAATTGCTGGAGAAAAGAGCAAAATTAAACGTTTTTGTCTGATAAGACTTACTTCACCTAGCTTGCAAGACTGTATCTTTAAATACATACTTGGATTTGAAGAGCAGAGGCAGAACTAGAGCACACCTGGTTTTGTACCTTGTACTCAAATAGCATTGTCTCTCAGCAGTTTTCAATTCACTGTCTTGAGGGTTTGGATTCACTTGTGTTTTACTTGAGAATCCTTCATGCATCTTAGATCAGACACTACAATCACATGACTGATGTGCAGCCTACACCATAAAAAATTCTGTGGAAATAAATTCAGATGGAGATCTTGAGCTGGGGAAAAAAAATCTGTAGACTAGAAGTGCTACCAGATTTGCATTTCATAGTCTGCTGCGTGCAGCCTGCCTTTTTCCTGAAGATCTCCACCGAAGTTTCCTGCATCCGAGGACACCAAGTGACTGTTGTATTGGTTCCAGCTCACTGAGCCATCCATGGCTGAGGACCTGTTATGCTAGACCCTGTGCAAACACAGCATGAAATAAAATAGACCTTCCCCCAGTTTTATTGCAATATCTTGTCAGCATGACTCTCACAGGACAGGGTGGCACAGATGTTTGCTTGTGTTGGTCCTGATATGCCTTCTACTTTAATGGTACCAAGGCAGGCAGCTTCTTGAGAAAAACGTTTATAGAGTGTTTCATAACTTTTCATTGGTGGTTGTGAACAGATTTTAAAGCTTTCGGATGCTCAAGTGACAGGAGAGTTTAGCTTGTTTCTTATTTATAGAGTTCCATATGTGTAAATGTAGCACTTCCTGACACATATGAAAAGTGGCTTCCTGCCCAGGAGGGACTGTCACCTTTCTTGACCTCTTCTTTTTTTTAATATGAGCTCATCTCCTGTTGTGCCCTGGATTTAAACAAGAAGCATTATGCTTGATCGGGCAGTGCCTGGCTGATGAGCCCTCCTGCAAAGACTTCAGCAAAATGTCTGGAGTAAATCTACCTGAGTCATATCTTGCAATTAAAGTCATATAGCACAGTGCATGCAAATAAATGATCCTTGTCTTTGCTGCTGCTTTGCCTGTGGGCTGCGCAGGAATATGAGCCTGGTTTTCCATGAAGAGGAGTGTGTAACTGCTTCCATAGGATTCTCTTTTCTCATCCTCTTAATTTCATACTGTTGCCAGAACTACTGGCTGTAGCCCTGGCAAGGCTGTAGCTGCTGGTGTGGTCACCACAGCGTTGTGGTGACTAAATTCCTGTGGCTGGGACTGGCATCAGGTGAAAATGATGGCTCAGCATCACTTGCCTTTGATGGAGCTGGTAGTGAAGGTGGAGGAGATTTAATGATCAACCAACCTCTCATTTATTCCTGGGTAGGGTCTTCGTTAATTTCA